ACAGGGAGAGGGAAGGGTAAGCTGGGACGAAGTGAGAGAGTGGCATGGACATATATACACTACCAAATGTAAAATAGATAGCTAGTGGGAAGCAGCCACATAGCACAGGGAAATCAGCTCGATGCTTTGTGACCACCTAGAGGGGTGGGATAGGGAGGGTGGGAGGGAGGCTCAAGACGGAAGGGTTATGGAGATGTATGTATACATATAGCTGATTCAATTTGTTGTACATCAGAAACTAATGCAACATTGTAAAGCAATTATACTCCAATAAAGATATATATAAAAGAAGCAACTAATATCTGCCTGGTCACCATCAGAGACAACCTTAAATATTCTATTAAAGAGCTTGGTTTTTTTTTTTTTGAATATTTAGATAGGCTTTTGGGTCTTTAGTTCCCCGACCAGGGATCGACCCCGCGCTCACAGCAGTGAAAGTGTGGAGACCTAACCACTGGACTGCCAGGGAATTCCCAAGAGCTTGGAATTTAACTTATGCAATATTTTGATTAAAAAAATATATTATTTCTGAAGAAAACTCTAAAATTTTGGATCTGGATTTCCATCAAAGATATTTTTAAAGGGCTTTAATGCCAAAAAAATTTAAACACCTGTTTTAGTTGTGTCAGCTTGTCCAATGCTCTGGAATCCTATCTGATTCCCTTGTAGAGCCACAGAGGAAACATATTTTTAACTACTACAATTTTTCCTATCACAAACATGCTCCTCCTGGCCATAATCTTGGACGTTCCTGGATGAAATGCCCTCCTTTAAGAGTTCCCAGTGGGAAAAAAAAAAAAAAAAGAGTTCCCAGTGGGGACTTCCCTGGTGGTCCAGTGGTTAGGACTCTGTGCTTCCACTGCAGTGGGTATGGGTTCGATCCTTGGTCGGGGAACTAAGATCCCACAAGCTGCATGGCCAAAAAAAAAAAAACAGTTCCCAGTGTCCGTGTGCAGTCAGTGAATGTTCAACATTTTACTAGCTGTTTTTTCAGCAGAAGGAGGACCTAACTTCTAGGAGCTTCAATTTCCCTATTGGATTTGGGAGTGTAATAATTGAGACTGTGCTGAAACCTGCTCCACACTTGTAAGAAAAAATTAGGTGTCTTTATTGCAAGGTAGAGAAAAATCTTGCCTTTTGTTTTTTTAACTTCTTGGAGTTTATCATCTAATTATGTCAAACACAACTATCTCTCCTATTTAATTATACCAAACCCTTAGTTACAAACAACCTTAAACATAAAAAACAGATCAAGCAATTATAATTAAATATTTATTTATTTATTTATTTGGCTGCGCCGGGTCTTAGTTGTGGCATGCGGGTTCTTTTTATTTGCGGCACTGGAACTCTTAGTTGCGGCATGTGGGATCTAGCTCCCTGACCAGGGATGGAACCCAGGTCCCCTCCATTGGGAGCTTGGAGTCTTAGCCACTGGACCACCAGGGAAGTCCAAGCAATTATAATTAAACAGGATAAATAATTCAAGCACGTCTCAGTGAATCCAACATAAGAATTCAATGAGCTATATTCCTGTAGGAATAGCTGGAACCATGGGATTAAACAGAAGATCTTATATCTCTGCACCTTTCTCCTTGAAATTTTCATTTTCTGAACAAAAAAAAATGTGATACACACACACACACACACACACACACACACGATGAAATACTACTCAGCCATAAAAAAGAATGAAATAATGCCATTTGCAGCAACATGGGTGGACCTAGAGATGATCATACTAAGTGAAGTAAGCCAGACAGAGAAAGGCAAATACTACATGATATCACTTATATGTAGAATCTAAAATATGATACAAATGAACTTATTTACAAAACAAAAATAGACTCACAGACATAGAAAGCAAACTTACGGTTACCAAAGGGGAAAGTTGGGGGGATAAATTAGGAGTTTGGGATTAGCAGATACAACTACTATGTATAAAATAAATAAACAACAAGGTCCTACTGTATAGCACAGGGAATTATATTTAATATTTTGTAAAAAACCACAATGGAAAAGAATATGAAAAAATTTTTTTCTTTTTTTTTGTCTCAACATAGGTTTCTGCTAGTTTGGTTCACATGATATGAAAGAGAGCTGGCCATTCCTGAATTGGGGAACTTATATAGTATTGTGCAGTTATACAAGGAGAGACAGAAAGTTTGCTCTTTTTTTTTCCTCTGGAAAGTTTACTCTTGATATGAAGACCAAAAATCTCAGGGAAGAGACACAGGTTTGCATGTGTCTAATGCCTTATTCAACAATGTCTAAGTGACAGGATCATTTGACCTACGACTCCTCAAATGCACATTGTGAAAGGAAAAAAAAAATTTTTTCCACACTATGTGCTGTTCCAAAGGTTTGGGATGGGTGAAGGACATACAAAAGACATGTGTTTCTGGTTATAGGGGAAAGAAACTGTATTCATGGCAGAAAGAACAAAGACATGGACTCCAAATTAGAAGGAGTTTAAAATTAGCTCTTTCATTTGCTAACTGAATTCTCTTTACAGTTCAAAAATCTCATCACAGGTAGATGTGACACATTATTTTTTTTAACTTTTTATTTTATGTTGGGGTACAGTTGATTAACAATGTTGTGATAGTTTCAGGTGTACAGGAAAGTGATTCAGTTATACATACACATGTATCTATTCCTTTTCAAATTCTTTTTCCATTTAGGTTGTTACATAATATTGAGCAGCGTTCTCTGTGCTATACTGGGTCCTTGTTGGTTATCCATTTTAAATAGATGCCCGTCTTAAATACTGCATTGTATATGGCACCACCTGGTGGCCATCCAGGCAGTAAAGGCAGAAATTCTCTTTCTCATGTCAACGAAGAAGAAAGGACAAGGATTCCTCCCGCTTTGCTTACTTGCTCATCAGACACATAGGGTGTGCATCAAGCGGGCCGCATTCCCGGGGCGGTGGGGTCCACGAGAGTGAACCAAGTACTTCTCTCTCCGCTTCTCTTGCAGTGCTGTATGGATCGTGGTTTGACCATGTTCACAAGTGGCTGCAGATGAAAGGAAAAGAGAATTTCCTGGTGATACCGTATGACGAGCTGCAACAGGTAACCATTCTCTCTAGCTCCATCTCATGGCTGTCTATCTTCCATCCATTCTTTCAATTTAATTTAATTAATTAATTTTTTAACATCTTTATTGGAGTATAATTGCTTTACAATAGTGTGTTAGTTTCTGCTGTATAACAAAGTGAATCAGCTATTCATATACATATATCCCCATACCTCCTCCCTCTTGTGTCTCCCTCCCTCCCTCCTTATCCCACCCCTTTAGGTGGTCACAAAGCACCAAGCTGACCTCCCTATGCTATGCGGCTGCTTCCCACTAGCTATCTATTTTACATTTGGTAGTATATATAAGTCCATGCCACTCTCTCATCCATTCTTTAATATTTCTATTCTACCCTTTCAATCGGATCTTATCCCTGGGAGGAAATCAAGAGGGGTCATTTCTTCTTTGACCTCCTTAGGTTGTACACATTCTTTCTTCAATTTTCTCATTTATTTCTTTTTACAACATTTAATGCAGGCACTGACAAAGAGTTTAGTAACATACTGAGGGCTATCAACGATTTCATGGCAAAAATCTGAAGCAATCTGGGAACCCAGGGGCAGTGTCCGGTGGGTATGGAAGGCAGGTGGGGCTTGGCAGGGTCAGGATAGAGGCAAAAGTATTTACATATTCCCAGACCGACTGATAGGAATTGAATATGTCAGTATTCATAGGAAGCATTGGCTGACCTCCAGAGAAAGTGGCCGACGTAAATTTTTTTTTAATTAATTTCATTTTGGCTGCATTGGCTCTTCGTTGCTGCGTGTGGGCTTTCTCTAGTTGCCGTGAAGGGGGGCTACTCTGCATTGTGGTGCATGTGCGTCTCGTTGCAGTGGCTTCTCCTGTTGTAGAGCATGAGTTCTAGGCACGCAGGCTTCAGTAGCTGCGGCACATGGGCGCAGTAGTCGTGGCTCGTGCGCTCTAGAGCGCAGGCTCAGTAGCTGTGGCTCACAGGCTCAGTTGCTCCGCGGCATGTGGGATCTTCCCGGACCAGGGCTTGAACCTGTGTCCCCTGCATTGGCAGGCGGATTCTTAACCACTGCACCACCAGGGAAGCCCGTGGCCAACGTAACTTTAAATAGACTGTCTCAGGACTTCCCTGAGCCACAACTACTGAAGCCCATGAGCCTAGAGCCCGTTCTCGGCAACAAAGAGAGGCTACTGCAATGAGAAGCCTGCGCGCAGCAACAAAGACCCAACGCAGCCAAAAATAAATAAATAAATAAGTAAGTAAATAAATAAAAGTAAAGTAAAAAATAAATAGACTGTCTCTTATAAACACTCCTCTGTCCCACACTTGGACTGCACGTTTCCAGACGAGCATGACGAGCTCATCCTCTTCCTGCTTTCGCTTATTTTCTGTCTCCTCCTGGTCGTCACTCTACTGTCTCTGTTTGCTCTCTTTTTCCCGATTGTCATTTTCTTTCCACTCTCTGTGGTTCTCATCCTAGGACATACAAGCTAGTGTAGAGACGCTCAGCCACTTCTTGGGCAAGAAGCTAAGCCCAGAAGAACTGAACGCAGTCCTCAAGAATGTATCCTTCAAGACCATGAGAGATAATAAAATAGCAATTATTCCCTATCACCTGATATCTTTACGGATCAAAGCAAAGGTTTCATGAGAAAAGGTAAGAGAGCATTTTTTAAAACTGAAGTATATTTGATTTACAATATTATATTGATTAGTTGCAGGTGCAGCATAGTGATTCAGTATTTTTATAGATTATACTGCATTTAACATTATTTAATGTAATATTTAACATTATTACAAAACAATGGCTACATTCCCTGTTCTGTATAATATATCCTTGTTGCTTATTTATTTTATACATAGTAGTTTGTACCTCTTAATTGTACCTCTTAATCTTGCCCCTCCCCCCTTTCCTCTCCCCACTGGTAACCACTAGTTTGTTCTCTATATCTGTGAGTCTGTTTCTGTTTTGTTATATCCATTCATTTGTATTATTTTTTAGATTCCACACATAAGTGATAAAATATAGTGTTTGTCTTTCTCTGTCTGACTTACTTCACTGAGCATAATACCTCCAAGTCCATCCATGTTGTTGCAAGTGGCAGAATTTCGTTCTTTTTTTATGCCTGAGCATTTCTAATTTTAGGACCTGGAAGAAATGGACAGAGAATTCCTCTGCTTCTGTGGATAAACTAAGATATGGGGCGAGGAAAATATTTGAGTCTATAAAATCACAAAAGTGGCACCTGACTTGGAGAGTTTAAGGAATGATTTGGGATATTTATAAGGTCATAAAGAAAACTTGTGAAGATGAAGCACTGCCTATGAATAATGTATTTACCTGTCCCCACTCATGTCCTAGGTGTTGGTTGTTGTGTAGAGCACCCTCACATTTTCTTGTTAGAGTTCCCGCTCACAACACTGGTGTGGTCCCTTGCCCCATGGAGCGACCCTCCCTTTACAAGTATTGACTTGTAATGGGAATATCTATTCCACCAAAAGGAGCTGGCAAATAGAAACCCTGGGAAAAGAAAAATGAGGGGAAAGACATGTGACTTAGCTCCAGGCCAAACCTTCTGTTGAGACCCTATACTAAAGACCAAAGATGTTCACTACACAGAAGGAATGAGGGTGTTGACGGCATGTAGTGGGTAGTTTCCATTTTCAACCTGCAGTGTACAAGAGTGGGGCTGGGGAGACCTCAAGGAAAAGATGACATGTGACTGTTTGCTTGGTTACCCAAGGGAAGAGCATTCGAGGTAGAAAAAACTGCAAGGTACAAAACACTGGGTAGTGCTGTTTGCGGTGATATTCAAGGGTGGAGAGTTAAAAATAAAAGGAAAGGGACTTCCCTGGCGGTCCAGTGGGTAAGACTTTGCCTTCCAATGCAGGGGGTGCAGGTTCGATCCCTGGCTGGGGATCTAAGATCCCACATGCCTCGTGGCCAAAAAGCCAAAACGTAAAACAGAAGCAATATTGTAACAAATTCAATAAAGACTTGTAAAAAATGGTCCACATCTAAAAATAAAAAATAAAATAAAAAGAAAGGAAAGAGAAGGCATGATTTGGGGGTAGCAATCAATCACAAGTACACCATATCTACCTACATGACCCAGGGTAAGAGCAGCGTGGGAGAAAAGAACCTCCACTGTCCTAAAGAAATGTGTTGCTGGTTAAATGAGGTATACACATAACATCCTAACACAATGCCTGGCATATGAGAAATTACTTCATGTAGGTTAGGTGTTATTACTGTTGTGGTTGCCTTTTGTGATTATTCAAACCTCACAATATAAACAGATTGCAAACTGGAGACTCAAACATACTACCAAAAACCAGTGGCCGTCGGACCCTGGACAAGAAACTTTTAACCACTCGGTTATATTGCCTTGCAATTTCCAGTTCAGTGTTCGTGACAGATTGGCAGTGGTGACAGACACAGAAGACGCTCAAGTGAAGTCTTGAGACCTTATTTATAAACCTGATCTGGACTTATTTTTTTGTATATTTGACAGGAATCATTGGGGACTGGAAAAGTCACTTTACAGTGGCCCAGAGTGAAGCCTTTGATAAAATATACCAGGAGAAGATGGCTGGGCTCGCTCAAGACCTATTCCCATGGGAATAATGGCCTTATATTCCTGGATCAGATATAAATGCTGAATTTCCTGATGTTCTTGTGTTCGAGCATGCTCCTAGGAAGCAAATTTTAATCCTACAATTCAATATGTGGTTCATTGAAAATAACCATGTTCTAAGAATACTATTTCATAATAGGTGGAAGTCATATAAAATTTAAATTTCAGTGCCATAAATAAAGTTTTAATGGAACCCACATACATGCACACACACACACAAAAGAATCATGTTCCTTATTAACTGTAAGACATGCCAGCTTCAAAAAGTTATATAATATTTCAAACACACAGAATAAGAAAGAAAACAATATTTTAAACCTCATATGAATTCTAACCTGTTAAAAAGTAAAAGTGAATACTTTCCCATATTGGTGAGTATATGAAAGTCCACCACAGAACATTACATATATTAATATACTTACCTCTTCTTCTGTAGCCATTCCCCAATCATATCTTCCCTCTGTATCTTTGGCATCTCATAATTAATAACTACTCAGAATTCAGTGTGTACGTTTCTGTAGGGGATACCTTGTTCAGATCACCACACCGACGCACTTATGTTCCAGCCACTGTGAGGGAGCCGGCTGAGGGCTTGCAGGTGCCCTCTTATCTGCAACATTGCTTTGAGCAAAACGAGAGACATCTTTCCTGGAAGATTAGGCTTCCCGAAAAACAAACGGCACCCAGCAAATGACTTGCAGAGATAAATACTAAAGACTAACACCTTGTGCTAGGAAAGGAGCAGATTCGTGGTGTGCATTGTTGTCAAGCTCTCTGGGGGACAAGAACAAACCACATCTGTGTTTGGCTTCTTCCCCAAGACCCACCACTCACCCCCGCCGTGTTGTGCTGGCCTCACACCTTTGCAGAGCACACTCATTCATTGAATCATTTATACAAAAGCACCCATTTCAAGCCGTTTCTAAGAAACCCAACTCAAGAAACTTAACCCCAGAAGCCATCCTAGGAATAAAACTGTGAAGATGGGATTCTGGAATTGATCACTTACCAGCCAGACAACAATGAGGACCCCAATACTAGCAGAGGGGAACAGACAGACAGACCCTGGCATATTATCCCAGGGCAAATCTTAAGGGCTTTTTGTTTGTTTGTGTTTTTTGGCGCACCACACGGCATGCAGGATCTTACTTCCCTGACCAGGGATCGAACACGTGCCCCGTGCAGTGGAAGCGCAGAGTCCTAACCACTGGACCGCCAAGGAAGTCCCCTGCTAAGGTTTTCACTACTGTGTTGGGATACAGGTGGAAAGGGCTGACCTGTCACGTGCAGTATCTCTGGAATGTGATTGTTACAGGGGGAACAGTAACTCTTAGGACTGTGGAATTAGGTGCCTTTTGAAAAGTGCCACTAACGCAAAAAGCAGTGGAGACAATGACCTCAGATGGATTCATCAGGGTTGTAAATGTCACCGAAAACCCGGCCTCTGTTCACTACTGCCGAATAGAAACACAGAGACAGAACCTGGAGGAGTAGAAAAGAGTAGCTTTATTACTTTGCCAGGCAAAGGGGGCCACAGCAGGCTAACGCCCTCAAAACTGTGCCTTGGGTCTTCCCCGGTGGCGCAGTGGTTGGGAGTGCGCCTGCCAATGCAGGGGACACGGGTTCGTGCCCCGGTCCGGGAGGATCCCACATGCCGCGGAGTGGCTGGGCCCGTGAGCCATGGCCGCTGGGCCTGCGCGTCCGGAGCCTGTGCTCCGCAGCAGGAGAGGCCATAACAGTGAGAGGCCCGCGTACCACAAAAAAAACCCCACAAAAAACAGAAAACTGTGCCTTGATTCCTAGGCAATAGGAAGGGGTCTTATAATTTCAGGGTGGAAAACAGGGCTGTAGATAAGGATCGGGGCTGATGTAGTCTTCATTCTTCTTTCCACCTGGAGACATTGGGATTATTAGGGCTGGCGTCAGGTGGTTCTGGAACGGGTTCTGGTGGTCCTCAAAGTTATCGTTCCATGACGTTCTTTCTGGAATGAAGAACGCTCACAAAGGAAAGGAGTGCTAGGGAGTGTTGTCTTGGAGGAGTAAACATCAGGTGCACAGTACAACTTTAGCTAGAGGGCAGTCACTGTCAGAGTGCAGCTAAGCAAGAAAGAGAAGGGAAAAATAAAAAACGTCTACAGGGGCCTCCCTGGCTGGACATCGAGCCCTGGTCCGGAAAGATCCTACACACTGTGGAGCAACTAAGCCCGTGTGCCACAACTACTGAACCCTGCGTGCCTAGAGCCTGTGCTCCGCAGCAAGATAAGCCACCACAGTGAGAAGCCCGAGCGCCACAACCACTAAGCCTGCACTCTAGAGCCCACGAGCCACAACTACTGAGCCCGCGTGCCACAACTACTGAAGCCTGCGCCCCTAGAGCCCATGCTCTACAATGAGAAGCCACCGCAATGAGAAGCCCGCACACCACAACGAAGAGCAGCCCCCCCACCCTGTTCCTACTCGCTGCAACTAGAGAAAGCCCGCGCACAGCAACGAAGACCCAACGCAGCCTAAAATAAATAAATAAATTTATTAAAAAAATAAAAAAGTCTACAGGAGACCAGTTGGATGTGTGGCAAGAATAAAGGCTGAATAAGGGCTGACATAATGGGGGTGCCTCAACTAGCTTCTGCTACATCATAAAGGGCCGTGTGGGAGTGATGTCAGCAGGCTGGTGAAATAGGAGGCCCTGTCTCCGGATGATAATAATGTGAGGGCTCTGGAAGCCAGGAGGGTAGTTCCAGTCCCCACATGGACCACGGAATCCAAGTTCAGCCACGTTGGACAGGATGAGAACAGCCTCACCCTGCCCGCGTCACCCCTTCCAAAGCTGCCACATCTCAGTGCTGAGCCGCCTACCCCCAGCCCTTCTCACCCAGTGGGGAAAGAGAAAGCAAAGCGAGGGGCTATCTTCTCCAGCCTTTGAGACCCGCTGCCCGACAGACCTGCTTTTGTCTCTTCACACACGGAATGTGAGGAAACCCACGTGGCTGCGGCCTGGGGAGAGCTAAGATCAAAGAAATGGGGTAAGGATGGCAGCAACCCGCTCGAGGGTCTCAAGGACCACCTGGGCGCCCCCACGGATGGCACAGACCTCACGGACTGGCTTGACCCTGCCAGAACCGAGGGAGACACCCCGGTCCTGAGGCTGGTCCGTCAGGAGAAGGGAAAGGGGTGAAGCTGGTACCCATCGCCCCGGCAGTTTGGGGCAGTGCCCTGGGGAAAGGTTGGCAGTGCTACTACACACCTGACACAGCCTTGTTGAGGCAGGAGATAGACGGGACCCAGGCTGAGAAGCTGGACTCTGTCTCCTGTGGACAGATACTCCAAGATGAAGAGAAGGAGCTGAGCCCTGCCCAGATAAGACACCACATATTTCTCATTCTCGAGGTCAAGGAGACCTTCCCGACTACACATGCGCAGAAAGGCTCCTTGGAGGTCAAAAAGGGGGTGATGTCAGCCTACCCATAGGCCTCTTCGCAAGAATCCACCTCGGCTGAGAGATGCACGCACACGCAGGGGAGGACCCTGAGATAAACCAAGTACGGACTCAGAACCAGGCAAAGCAAGATGACTGGCCAGAGGAAACCCGGAAGAAATGCCCCATATAAGTGATTCAAACTACCACAAGGGCGCGACTCTCTCTGGGAGCCCACCCGTGTGTGCCTATTCATATGTACTCTTTTTCCTCCTAATAAACACTTTACTTGTTTCACTACTTTCCGTTTCTTTGTGGAAATTCATTTTCTCCAAAGCCATATGGGCCAGGGCCTTGTCACTGGCCACTGGTCTAGTGACTAGGATTCAGTGCTCTCTCTGCCATGGCCTGACTTCAGCCTGTGGCCAGGATCCGAAATCCTGCTTGAAGCTGCTGCAGGCTGAGGCCACCCGAGATCACTGTGGCATAGAGGGAAGACACACAATCCTAAACATCCCCTCCAGGAGGGACCCCCAGAATCTCCAGCCGGGCTGTCTGCTGGAGGTCCTTCCCTCCTGAAGCCAGTCCATAAAGACTGGAAGAGGCGACTTCCAGTGCAGTCATCAACGCAAGGCTACAAAGATCACGAGGAATCAGGGAAACAGGACATCATCGAATGAAGGAAATAAGCCCTAGTGACGGATCCCAGAGAAATGGAGATCTACCAACAGCCTGCTGGAGAATTCAAAGTCATCGTCTTAAGCTCCGTGAGCTACAGGAGAACAGAGATAGGCAACAAAACGGAATCAGGAAAACAGATTATTTTTTCCTTTACAATTTTGTTTATTGAAGATTAAGTTTCTATTCAACTTTAAGGTCCACAATTATAAAGTTTAACTTGAAAAAACAGAGATTAGTTTTGACATTTAAAATTGTACAAAAACGATCTGTTAACAACCATAGGTGAACAATATAGAAACAATTGCATCTCAAAAGCATGTTAGGAAAACAGCAGATTTTTTAAAATGAAAAGTTTGGATTGACGTCAGCAAGAAGGGAACAATCTATCATCAACTGGGATCAATCACCATAGACAGGAAATAAATCTAGGCAAGGACAAGTAAAGAATGAGAAATAACAATGTTTCTAAACCATCCCTCCCCATTCAACTCTTTCCCAAGTCATTCTTCAATTCCAAGGCCAAGGTGAGCTAATAATGCAAGCTCAGTTTGGATCATGTCTCTGGTTGTACTCTGTTTGTGGGACAGATTAAAACTTGATTCAAAGTGAGCATATCAGAAAACATTGTTCAAAGTGGCATGTTTGTATGTTAGATAATTTCCTTGGTATTGCTCCAGAGAACACTTTGTCTTCCTTAGCTAAGTAATAAATCTCTGTTGCCCCGTAGTGTAAAGTGCCCAACATTGAGTTGCCCACGTGAAAAGCAGCTCAGTTACAAATCATCACTTACAATTCAGAGGAAATACGGGTTTGGTGTTTACATTTGAAACCCAATGGGGACTCCTCTAATCATGACATCTATGTAGGGCATGTCTCTCCCAATCAACTGCTCCACAGTCCTGTGATGCAAAATTTCAGGAGCTCCAAAGGAAGGTTCTAACTTTGAATATCCCTAGAGATATAAATGTGAATCTGTACTCTTCTTATAGTTTAAATCATATGATACAAAACACATTATCTAAATTGCACAAAACTCTCTCAACCCACCTTTTGTGATGTAATGGATGAATGATCAGAATAT